GAAGGAAATTGATAAGTGTTAATTCTTTTAGGAATGAAGTCTTTCCTAAGATATCACGTCCTAGGGACTTGAGAGCTGCTAATTGCATTTAATGTTTAGATATGTTTTGTCCCTTGTGGCCAAGAGCTTGGAGTAAATATTGAGTGTTGGCAACCATCACTGAGCAGAGAAGTCATGTATATACTGAATTGAGGTGGGGCTCAGATATTTTCAGAGGATGGATGGGAGTTCCTCAAAGGAGGCTGGCCTGACTCATGAATGGATGAGACCGAGCAGCAGAGAAGGAAACCTGAGTACAAAGTGGGGCTGTACCTGACCATTCCCTATGCCAGAACCTCCCACATGACTTCAGGCACATGGTGCTCCAAGAAAGGGTTGTGGTGCACCGTAAGCTCTGCGGTGGGATATCTGCCGAAAGAGTTCTCATTGGTTACAAAGGGAGCCCTTCATGAGAGCCAAATTGCAACAGGGGTTTATGTATTCAACAATGGTTGGTGATCCTCACAACCCCATAGGGGTCAGCCGTGTGTGTGTGTGTGTGTGTGTGTGTGTGTGTGTGTGTGTGTGTGTGTGTGTATAATTTTAAAAAGTAAAATTTAAAAGCAACCAAAAAATGAAAGTCAATTAGTTAAGATCATTCAAAAAGAGAAATGGATTGAAGTTTGAGCCAAAAATAAAGCCTCACAGGTAATACCTTGTCATTGTAAGACAGCTGACATTTAGGATGAGAGAGAAAGGAGAGAGAGGAGGTTACCTCCGAAGGCTTGAAGCAGCCCAGCCTCCCAGTACACAGGCGGTCACCCAGCCTGGCTACAGGAAGTGTCCCTCGCCCAGGTCTGCATTCTGTGAGTGCTGAGCCTGTGCTAGACGCTGGCTGCAAGCTGACTAGACAAAGATGAGAAAGCTAGTATTTGCATTGAAGAGCACTTTCCAACAGTGAGCAGACAGAGAACGCAAGAGAGGGATGGAGCAGAGCAATTAATAAGAGCAAAGGCTCAGAAGAGAAAATACACCTCACATCCCTTCCACTCACCCCTCCTCCACCCCTTGCTACCGATTCTGATATATGTCTTGTGTAGAAAGGGCGGTATTTTTCAAAGTGGTGAAAAAGTTGGCATGCCTAAAATGTAGGTGGAGTTAGGAGCCCTGCAACGTGAGGATGGAAAAACAGGTTGGGCCTGATTTTAAAGGGCCTCAGGGTGCCAATTAGCAATTTAACCTGTGCAGGGCTGCACTCTTGATGTTCAGGGAATGAAATCTTGCAGATAGAGAACTCTGGCGGCAGTGGAAGCGGTCCATACAGGCAAGAACAAGAGAAACTGGTAGTCCAATGAGGAGCTATGGCAGCAGATTGGACGGGAGATGATTAGCCTTAGAAATGGGTCAGGATCAGACATTTCTGGGTAGGGCTGATAGAATCTGGGGTCTATTAGGAGCGTGGTGGTGTTGGGGAGCACGTGGATCTCATAGCCAGACCGGCTGGTTCAGTCTGATCCTGGCATCTACGGGCTCCGTGATTCGGAGCAAGGAATGGCTACTTTCAGAGTTCAGTTCTCTTCTGTAAAAATAGGCACTAATGTCACCCCTTTGGGGGAGGAGGGCAAGGATTAAATAACGCAACGTATGTGAATCTAATATAGTGTCTGACACAAACTAAGTAATCCATACATTTCAGTGCCCTTCAGTGGGGGTTCAGGGCCTCCCATATTTTGTTTCACATGGAGCTTTCGGAGAAAGAGGCCCACTCTCCTCCCCCGAACCCCTCTCTCCAAAAATACAGGGCTCTTTACTGTTTCTCAGGCATGAGCTTTTCTTTCTCATCTCTAAGTCGTTGTTCATGTTATTTCTTTTCTTGGACTATCCTTCCTCTTCTCAGTTCTCATTTCTCTCTAGGGAAGTCAATTCTCCTTAAAGGCTGTGCTTCATCAAGTAGTTCCTTCTCTAAGAACCGTCCTCAATTACCCAGCTGGAAACGGTCTTTCCTTCTGTTCCCCACCCAAAGCCCTTTATTAGAACCGTTCTAATGACCCTCACCCTGTACTTCACTTTACCTGGCTATTTCGGATACTGTGAACGAGATTGTCAAAGGTGGGGTCATTTGGGTCAAGAAACTAAAATGGAACCGGGAAGCCACGAAGAAGTTTGTCTTACATTCCAACCAGCTTGCTTGTTTCTCCACGAACTTTGGAACTTTTCGGCTGTGCCTGAATTTTGATGTCCTCCTCACCATGACATCCAGACCATTTGTGTTTCTTACTTTGAAAGGAGCCAACTCATTTTACCAACCAGCATCCTTTGTTTGCCTATGGGGCTCAGCCAATCCCTATTAACTTAGCCAGAACCCTTCATTTACATAAAGAAGGCCAGGTGAGGACAGCGCATAAGCCCTCCTTTCTTTGTTTTCCCTGGGGGCACTATTTAGGTTGTCACCTCCGCCTGTGCCCAGATTGCAATCCCTCCTTTGCTCAAATAAATGCTTTTTATTCTTTATTACAGCCTAAATATATATATATATGTTTTAACATTACAGTATATATTTTCTGTCTTCAAGGTATCATCTGGTTAATTTTTCTGGTCACTATAGTACTTAATTCAATAAATAGTGTTATCAAAAGTAGGTATTTAATAGTCAGACTAATATGATTGACTTGGATAGAGAAGAGGAGAGCAGTTAATCCAATGCTAGGTATGGGGTGGGGATGGTCTGTATCCCTGCTAACCGGAAATTAGTGGGGATATAGCACTGCCAATCCGAATTTTATTGCCCTCATTTCTAGTTCTGTCTTTGTAACTCATAGTTCCTCCACAGCATCTACGCATAAGCATGACGAAATTCAACATGTAAGGTCAGTAAGGACTGTTTCAGACACCATCTTGCTAGTTTGCTGAGTTTTGGGGTTGTTTGTATGTTTGACCTATTTTGAGGCTTAATTTAAGTGAGTGGCAAAGATAATGCCTGCTTTGGGATTTCAGTGTTATGCAATGTACGAAAAATGCAGTTTGACAGATAAAATCATAATATAGGCTAACAGCGAATCGTTTTAAAATAAAATGATCAGATTAAGTGTCACACTTTGGCTTTTTTCATTTAGAAGTTTTAACTTAAGGGCCGGCTGAGTGGCTCAGTTGGTTAAGAGCTCGCTCAAGAGTTTGAGCTCTGAGCAACAGTGGTTCGAGTCAGCCCGAGCTGAGCAGCCGTGAGCTGCCAACAGGTGGCGGGATGGCTCAGCTAAAAAAAAAAAAAAAAGAAGTTTTAACTTAGTAAGTATTTATAAAATTGGTTTGCTGTCCCTTTAAGCACAGCAAAAGACACCGGGGGAAAGTGGTGTTGAACTAAGCAGTAGGGAAAACCAGCCCTCTGTGAAAATTTATAAAGAAAAAAACTAGCATTTGTGTAAATGGACAACTAGATTTGGTAGGTTTTTCTTAACTCTTCTGAAAGGACAAGTAGTTTTTTAAAAAGAATGCCTAATATTCGTATTTTTAAATGAAAAAGCTGCATATTTAAAATGAAACAGCTATAGTTTATGTGAAAGATCTTTATTTTCTTTTGAATAATATGAAAACAAATTATCGTGCAGTTGGGTAACACAATGAGCATGTGTTAATCTTTTAAAAGGCACTTCTGGTGCAATTACAGTTAAGTAATATAGACAATTCAAGTTATTTATCTTGCCACCTTGTAAAATTGCCTGTTATTTCACATTGTTCTTTGAATGGTCTTCACTGAATTGCTGCACTTCATAAAAATTTCAAAGTCCCATCATGAAATGTTCATCTATTGATTTACTTATTTTAATTCTATTTACTGTTAATAACATCACCAATGTATCACATTTAAAAGACATTTAAAAATATCCTTTTTTCATGGGCTAACATAATCATTCCCTCACGAAGTTATCAGAAAGTGTTTTAAGTACCCAAATGTAAAGAAGTGGAACTTTTTTTATGTTAAACCTCCTTCTAGGAATAAAAGTTGGATAAACACAGAGCTTTTTGTTATTGTTTATTCTTTTAAATGGTTTTGTTCTGTAATTTTTAATTATACAATTATAAATTGTATGATTTTGTAAAGAAGGCTGTTGTTTAGAAAACAGGCACGATCTAATTTTTCAATAAAAATTATAATGTAAAATTAGCTTCCCAAGGCTAAATCAAAATCTAACACATTCGCTAAAGAACATTCACAATTGCTCTCAATGTTATCATATTCATGTTCAGATAATCATAAATATCAACTGTATTGATTAGAATAATTTTCTTATAAAGAAAAATACCCTTCACATACCCTTTCACAAAGATACAATTGTATGATTAATGTTGCAACCCAACTACCTATTTCCCCATGTATAAGACGCACCTTAATTTTGGGGCCAGTAATTTGAAAAAAAATGTATTACATAAAGTTATTGAACTCAAATTTTTTTCATCATAAAATTCATACAACTCCTCATCACTGTCAAAACTTCCAACCATTAGCTTGTCCTCATCTGTGTCTGATGATGAATCACTGTCTTCATATATTGCCTCGTCCTCAGTTCCATCTATGGCATTTGAAATCTACAACCATTATATAAGACGCACCCAGTTTTTAGACCCCAAATTTTTCAGAAGAAGGTGCATCTTACACATGGGGAAATACAGTAAGTTGGATAAATGTTTAACAAATTTTGCACACTGTGTTCTTTCATTTTCAATTGTAAAATACGATGTAAAATTAGAAAACACTATAAAAGCTGTCATAAATTGAAGGCATATCATTATATCTTAATAAATGATATATTCTTTGTTATAATCTACAGCACAAATAGCACATTTAAACTACTGGTTTTTTTTTTAAGTAAACATGAATTGTAGGATTTGGCTAGAATATTCTGATATAATAATAAAACTCAACTTAATTCATGCATAACCTGAAAAGTTTCAGATATATTTGACAGTGATTTTTAAAATGTAAACATATACCTTTCCTTTTGTAATTGTGTTATTGTTCCATTAAAAATAGAGTCCATGTATCCAACAACTAAATGTTATTCCATCTCTAAATCTCCATGTAGTCATGATAAGAATAACCAAAAACTGAAGTCAAAGTTCATTCTTGATTTGTTTGAGAATGTAGACACAGCATAAAGAAACCATTAACTCTGTGTGAAATATTTCCTAAATTATTTTTGGTCATCAATTGTATCAACATGAGTTAATTTCTTAGAGGCCTATAGATGCGATATACAATAACTTACAATATATAGACTCTTCAATTAAGAGTTTCTATTGTGCAAATATGCTATATAGAATTTCCCTGAGATGAACTAAATTACTGGCCCACAGAAATAACTCTGTAAAACTATATTCAGATTTTAATCTGATACCCACCCCAGAATGAGGGTTAATAGATTTTTAACATCAGTTGATTTGTGCTAATAATTCTTTTCAGTGGACTCTTTATACATTTGTTTTTAAAACAAGGTACTCAGAGAACTCATCTAAAATGAAACTTCAGAAACATACAAAGGCACAATGAACAGCTACTTTAGAGAGAACTTTCAAGTGTAAAAATCAGGAAATCTCTTCTATGCTTTTAAGTATACGAACATTTCATTACTTAAAAGGTAAAGAAAATGCATTTAAAAAGTAAAGACGTTTCCTAAATACCCACACTGCTCATGTGAGAAGATTTTTATAAAAGATCAATCAGACAAGCAATTATTAGTTAAAAAGATTTTTTTCTTCTTTCATTCATGTAAAGAGGTAGAATCTCATTCATGTATTTTTAATTAGGAAGCCATTCACATTACATAACTTCTATTAATGAATGGTCTGTGAAATACTGCTGAGATAATTTTCAGACTTCATTATAAAATTTCTCCACTCCTGACAAATGTCCTCCATGGAGAATTCTTCACCACCATATTCCAGAGGAAGAATGTCTGGGAAATGCTGAAGTAAGCTTTGTTTGTAATTGATCCCATGCATATGAATCTGAAATAGTCAAAATGTTTTAGAAGGTATGCCTTCTGCCACGCAATACATTAGATGAATTTCCAATGGAAAATCAACACCATAAAATGAGCTACTCAAATAACTTCCAACATGTGTAGATACTACATCCTTTATTCCTCTGCTTGTGAATCTAAGAATTTTATTATTTAGATTTAGATTGTGCTGCTTATGAATCTGATCATCTTACTTATAACTAATAAGATTTATAAAAAGATATTCGTTTCCTCTTTCAACAGATTTATAAAACTCTAAATAAAAGTATTTTATACATTCTATTCCCTGATGTACAAGTTATTTTTAGCAAAATATCTATTATCCTGGGACTATTCTTAGATGGTGAAAATATACTACCTGGTATTATTTCATATAAAATAAAAGAATATACCTGAGCTCAAAATTAGGTATATGGGGAATGATTTATGTGGTACATTTGATGGACACTCTTGGCTAGTACAAAATTAAGAGACAATAATGATGGTTAATGACCTTAAATTTTTAAATATTTTACATTATAAAACTTGATCATATAATGCCCTGAAGTTAAAGTAAAGACTTTGAAACTTGAATCAAAACCATATCTTGTTTGAAAAAAAATAAAATAACCTTTCTCCATCTGCTAGAGCTAAATATTCATCTGTACACTCAACAATCATTTAATAAGTACCTACTATGTGCTAGGATACAAGACTTGAAAGATAAATTAAACAAGTTTCCTGCACTCAGGAACCTCACAGTCCCCAATCCTTGATTTTTTTTTGAAATATTAAAATATTATCAGCACATAGAGAAGAAAGTCTACTATCTCCTCAGGAAGAGGGAAATACGAATGTTCACAGCGTATTTATTGCCAAAATGTTGAAAAGGAAGAAAGTAGCCGGACTGGGGCTCCAACCCCTCCGCCATTTGGCAAGTCTGTTTCCTGTCCGTTAACTTTCACCGAAATGCGTCACCTAACTTGTGAATTTTTCTTTTTCTTTTTTGCTCATATTCTATTTGTTAGGTTTAGTTTATTGTTGTTTGTGTTTTTATTTGCCCAGGCTATAACTCGAAATAGAAATACTTATTTTTAGATCTTTCAGAATTAAATAGAGGGTGGCCAGCTATTATCAAGCTACACTGAAGAGAGAACAAAATAAACAAACAAAAAATTGACTTTTATAAAAATACTGGAATGAAAAGTGGCCATTTTCATAGGGGTGGTTCTTCTTGAAAACAGTTAGAAATACCTACTGGATAACCTCAAAAGAAGCTCTAGGATCATAATTTTCTAACCAGATACAAGAGGTTACATTTTCTTAATATGAAAGAGTATACTTTCTAAAATTCCAAATATGCTATTATAATTCACATGATCACTATTTATATTTAAATAATGCTTGAGATAAATTATCAATGCCTTTAAAAAACTGTTTTGTGTTCAGGTATTGGATGTTAGCAATGTTTACCTAAATAAATGCTTTAAAAATTCTCCTTTACAAATTACTTAATATCCTAAGAGATATTAGATATTCCCCTGAGATAAGGCTCCAAAGGATAGGTAAAAAATGAATAAATAAAATCATTTTTCTTAACAACCATGACATTAATTCATATACCTCAGGTACTGTGGTTTTCACTTGCACATGTCTATTAAAATTTTTTTTAGTTGCATAGATAATACATTCACATGGCTAGACATCAAAACAAGTTAAAAGATGCACAGTAAGATGTCTAGCTCTCAACCCTATCCACACCTCTTCTCTGTTCCATATAGGTAACAACTCAGGTTGCTTTCTTGTAAAATCCTTTTAATGTACTTTTTATGCAAATATAACTATAGATTTTGAGTTCTCCCCTTTTTACACAAAAGGTAGCATACCATAAACACTATTCTGCATTTTGCTTATTTCACTTTACAATACATCCTGCAAATTTTGTTGTATTCCATTGTGTCAATGTCTCATAGTTTATTTAACCAATTCCCTAGTGATGAATACTTGTTGTTTTCCAATCTTTTGCTGCAATAAATCCCCTTATATATGCAGTTTTGTTTGTGTGCAGGTAGGATAAATTCCCAGAAGCAAAGGCTGTAAATTTGATAACTGTTACCACACTGCCCTCTATAGGGTATATACCATATTGCATTCCCACCAGGCATGTGTGAGAGGCCCACTTATATCCCCACGGACTAACTTGATTTTTCAAAATTAAAAAGAAATTTTAATTTATAAGCATAGTTGGCTTGTTAGATAAATACTCAAAATATTGGAACAATGGTGGGGATTGCTTAACAAAACAGTTCTTCAATGATAAAGGATTAAAACATTTGGTATAGAGGAATTGTAAATTGAATATGTTTTACTCACCCGTTCCTTAATTTTTTCAGTCAGGAATGGCTTAACCATAGAAAAGACAGCATGGAAAATTATTGGCTCATTTATCAAATGGATACCACGAACTTTTAATGGAAAGGAATCCTTTTTAAAATAAAGAAAAAATCTTATTAATAACAAAATAATAAATATATATTTCTATTGGAAAATCCATTCATTGAACATTTGCTGAACTTACAGCAGTACCTAATGTGTGATTTCATTTTCAAAATTATTTATTCCATCAACACAATATCCTGCTTTATTGTTCACTGTCACTAGATTAAAATAATATCTCCAAGAAGCATTCACTTTGTACCTTAGGCAAAGTATTTTAAGAAATATATTTCAAATATAAGACCTGAGATCATAAAACTCCTAGAAGAAAATATAGGGTCTAAATTTGCAGACATTACCCTGAGCAATATTTTTACTGATACATCCCCACAGGCTAGGGAAGTAAAAGAAAAAAAACATATGGGACTACATCAAACTTAAAAGTTTTTTCACAACAAAAGAAACCATCAATAAAACAAAAAGGAAGCCTACTGAATGGGAGAAGATATTTGTCAACGAGATATCTGATAAGAGGTTAATATCCAAAATATATAAAATGCTCATGAAACTCAACACCAAAAAAACAAACAACCCAATTAAAAAATGGGCAGAGGATATGAAGAGACATTTCTCTAAAGAGGACATACAGATGGCCAACAGGCATATGAAAAAATGTTCAATCTCACTTAGCATTAGGGAAATGCAAATAAAAACCACAATGAGATACCACCTTACCCCGGTCAGAATGGCTATCATCAATAAATCAACAAACAACAAATGCTGGCGAGGTTGTGGGGAAAAGGGAACCCTGGTGCACTGTTGATGGGACTGCAGACTGGTGCAGCCACTATGGAAATCAGTACGGAGGTATCTCAGAAAACTGGAAATGGAACTACCTTATGACCCAGCAATTCTACTCTTAGGTATTTATCCAGAAAAACCTAAGACATTAATCCGAAAAAAATACATGCACCCCTATGTTCATTGTGGCTCTATTCACAATAGCTAAGACTTGGAAACAACCGAAATGCCCATCGGTAGATGACTGGATTAAGAAACTATGGTACATTTACAATTTACAATGCTATAAAGAAGGAAATAGTACCATTTGCAACGATATGGATGGAACTAGAGAACATTATGCTAAGTGAAATAAGTCAGTCAGAGAAAGACAAATACCATATGATCTCACTTATATGTGGATTCTAAAAAGCTGAATAAATGAGAAATGTAAACAGAAATAGTCTCAGAGACACAGGAAAAACTGAGGGTTGCTAGTTGGGAGGGGGTGGGGATGAAGGAGAAGGGGAAGGGATGAGACAATACAAATTGGTAACCACAATATGGTCTCAGGGATAGAAAAGAGAGGCTGGGGAATATAATCAATAATGTTGTAAATATTTTTTAGGGGGCCAGATGGACTCATGTCTTGTTAGGGAGACCACTTTATAGATGGTATAGAGGCCTGACCACCGACCGCACTGTATTTCTGAAGCTGATGTTGAATAATATTGTATGTCAACCATAATTATATATACATATAGTCACGGGATGTGGAGTAGAGAGTGGGAATGGAGTCAATGGAATTGTAATAGATAATCATGATATCGGGGGGTGGGAGGTCAGTAGATGGGGGGGTTGTTTCTGTGTGAAGGGTGAAAAGGATAACTATTGCATTGTTCTGTACACCTGAAACTAACAATAAAAAAATATATATCTTTCATAAGCAAGACACACATACACAAATCTCTTCCCTAGACACATATAAATGTTCTTTTAAAGAACCAATGAATTGTTTGGCTATTAATACTTAACTTTTTCCCTAACATTTTTTTTGAGAAAAAAAATCAAACTTTCATAAAAGTTGAAAGAATAGTACAATAAACACACGCTTTTAAACTTTTGACACTGGTATGTCTTTAATATCAAAGTAATATAGGCTTATTCAGAAGGTTTAAAAAGTTAACAGTTGAAAGAAAAAAAAACTTCATCAATAGTTTTCCTACCCAAAGATGTATTGTTAGTATAAAGACATTTCCTGCCAAGGCTCTTTCATACAAAATTCTTTTATTTTTTCCTATACATGTGTTAGAGGTGTATTATCAATTTGGGGCTTTTTCTTCCAAGTTCTTTCTTCCTTCAATGTGTAATTTTTATTTATTTACTTATTTTTAGCTGAGCCAACCTGCCGTCTGTTGGCAGTTCAGCGGCAGCTCAGCTCGGGACTGGAATCGAACCAGTGACCTGTTGCTCAGAGCTCGAGCTCTTGAGAGAGCTCTTCACCAACTGGGCCATTCAGCGGGCCCTGCATAATATTATTTTAAACATAATTGCTAATATGCTCTCTAAATAATTTGTATCTTGTTTTGTTCCAGTGATATAATACAATTTTTGTAAACATCGTGAGTTTTAATATGTTACAATAATCCATTAGATGGAATTACCATAACTTAAGTAACTATTTTCTTATTTCTGGACAAATAAGCTGTTTCTCATTTTATTCTATAAAAATTGATGCTGTGGTACCTATCAAATTGATGTTGTAGTACCTATCAAATTGATGCTGTAGTACCTATCTTTACATATTGGAGGCAATGACGGTTATGAGCAGAGCTTTTACACTCAGATAATCTGGACTGGAACCTTTGCTTCACCATTGACAAAATGTGTATGCTTGGGCATTGCTGTCACCTCTCTGACACATTTAATTAATTTGTAAAATGGGAAAAATAATAGTCATATGAATAGGCTTATGGGGCCATTAAATGGTGATGGATTTGAAACACTTAGCAAAGTACCTGGCACATAGTAAGCTACTATTATTAAATACAAAGTGTTTACTATATTTAAGATTATTCTTTGGCTACATTTCCAAAAGTAGGGTTACTGGGTCAAAAATGAGGACCACTTAAAAAAACCTTTTGATTTCTAAAAGAACTGTATCAATTTATACCTACCAAAATTTATGTGACATTTTGTTGTACCAGTTACAAATATCATTTTTTGAATTGATTTTCTACTTTAGGAAGAAAATTTTAATGACAGAAAGATAAAATCACTACATTATTGTTTAATTGTATAAAGTCTGTGGTTAGTGACCATGAACATATTTCCACAATTTGTTGTAATATTTTTTCTTTTATAAATTAATCACACTTCACTTGTTCTTAGCATTATTGAATTCTATGTATCATTTCTAAAATTTTATTTGATTTTGTAATAAATGTATTATCCCTTCTCTTTATATAACATCTAACTCAATTTAAATCTATTATTTGGAATTATTATCCCAAAGAGTTAAACTATACACTTACTGTAAGAACAGCAGCGATCTTCTTGGCTACAGATGGGGTGATTTGAAAAGCATGAGAAAAATGCCAGCCTTCCAGATCAAAGACAACCTTGATACCATTCCGTTGGGTTTCTACCTCCTGTACAATAAGCTCGGATGTGATAAGACTTAAACGAAATACATCATAAGCTGTAAAAACTTTGGGGTCCCAGTGTGCTAAAAAAAATAAAAAATATCAAATCTCAGCATTGTGTAAAAAACCAGAAAAGACTTACAAAGGGAAACTAATTCTTTTTAGTCTTAAAGGATCAATAGAAATAAAAAGATCATGCATTAGATCAAATAATAGATCAAATTGGTGGTCCAAAAACATGTGTCTGCATCTCCCTCGCAAAGAACAGATTTTTAGGAGCATGGGGGGCGGGAGGCGGGAATAAATGCAGGCTGCAGGCCGGATTTAACTGCCAGATGAAACTACAGCCCAAAACATGCAGGAGAGGGCCATAGCTAAAGATGGGGATGCCACTGGGAGTGCTCCAAGTTCAGAGATATTGGAAATGAAGAAAGCATGGCCTGGAGTATGAAGAGTAACTGGGGTCCTATAGCAATCAAGAGGTTGTGAAGGGAAATACTTGAGGAGTAGACAGGCTGGTTAACGTCTCTGACACCCCTCAGTGACGAGCAACATGTAGCAGAGTCGGGTCCTGACAGGTAGAACAATAAGTGTGGACTCAGAACGTCAGAGTCAGGGAAGCATCGCATAGCTGCCCACACCCAGGAAAAACAGGGAACACCTGTGCTAGGAAGACGACTTCCTGGCAGTCTTCTGTCCCCTCCCTCGCCATTCCTGGGACAGGCCATGGCATGCAGAAAGAACAGTAATGGACAGGGAAGCAGGTAATCTTTTTTAAAAATATGCATCCATTAAGAATTGTAAGATTTTTTCAAACAGACACACAAAGAGAGGAACCAAACTCAATAGACTAAGGCACGGAACCCCAAGGAAACAGTTAATAAAGCAGGAAATGTTAAAGGAAGCAAAAAAGTTTCAGTGGGGGAAAAAAAGATACTGTACGCTATTATTACAAGAACAGGCTATTATTAAAAAGAATCAGTTGAGATCTTAGAAGTAAAATGATGATAATTCAAGCAAATTTCAGTTGATGGGACAAATGACAGAAAAGACAGAAGTGAATAATGGTTTGGAACATCAAGCTGAGGAATTCTCTCTAACTTAGCACAAAAAAAGGCAAAAGTTGATATGTATGAATTAAAGTTAAAGACATTCAGCTAGATCCAGAGGTTTCAAAATCCAACCAATTAGAATTATTGGAAGGCAATAATACAGAGATTAGGGAACAGAGGAGAGAGGAATAGTAACAGTAGAGAAAATTTTTCCAAAGCTGAATAAAGATGCAAGTGTTCAGATGAAGGGTCCATGGAATGCCGAACAGGGACAGGGAGAGAGGGAGGGATGGGGGGGAGAGGGAGATTCATGACAAAGTAATGGTACAATTTTAAAATACCAAAGTTTCTGGTTTGGACAACTGGGTAGAATGGTGGTACTGTTTAATGAGACAGGAAACACTGGAAGAGAAATGTTTGGGAGAGAACATCCTAAGTAGTTTGGGACATGTTAAAATGGTGATTGTGAGACATCCAATCTGATACAGCTGGGTCAGGAGCTGGTTGAGACATGATGTGGGTATTTATCTGGGAGTAGTTGGTGCTTATGTGAGAGTCCCTGCCAGGGCTTGTCTTAGATCGGCGTTTATCTTTGTTACAGTAGAGAGGATAGGGCATCACAACCCGGTAACAGAGAGATAAAGTAGCATGAGAAGAGGAGGCGAAGACCATCATCTTAAGGAATTTCGGAATTTAAAGGGCGAGCAGACTAGACTCGGTGGTGCCAGCAAAGGAGACTAAGTAGCAGCCAGTTCAATGGGAGGAAAACGCCAGTAGAATGTGACATCAGAGAAGCCGAAGGAGGAGGACAGCTCACGCAAGAGGAGGTGAGTGGTTTGCTGGATTGAGAGGGCTAAACAGGGCTAAACAAACATGCCCACTGGATTTGGTGCAAAGGTCACGGATGATGTTAGGGTCATTTCAACAAGGACGTGGGAGTGAAGCCAGCGAAGCCCGATCAGCTAGGTGCAGAGGAACTGTGAGAGAATGTGGATGGTGACTTAAGAAGTTTGCTGAGAGTGAGAGGAGTTGGGAGATGGCGGGGATGGAGGCTGGAGGGTCTTGTGGGGTTGAGTTTTTGTTTTGTCTTGGATGGCTGACTCTTACCAGATTCAAATATTAATGGGTAGCATCTAAGAGCAAGGAGAAATGTGAAGATATAGAAAGAGAAGGGATAATCAGAAGTATTCTTAGGAAGGCACAATAGGATTGTCCCTTGTTTTGAAAAGCCTTGTATGCGTGGTAAGAATTTGAATAATCAATCCACAGATAACCCAGTTCAAGTACCTTCTGCTACTTCAGACATTGGATGAAAGCTAAAATGGTGAAAAACTATGAAAAGAATGACTGAAAGTCTGCAGTTCAGGAAATAGTTACATACCGAAATTTCTGAGGCAACCAACATGTCAAGACCTGTGCTGTCCAGTACAGCAGCCATTAGCCACATGTGGCTATTTAAATGTAAATTAATTAACATTCAATAAATTGAAAATTTCAGTTTCTAAGTTGCAATAGCCACATTTCAAATACTTTCAACAGCTGTGTGTGCCTAGTGGCTATTGCAGAAAGATTTCATCATCATAGAAAGTTCTGTTGGATTGTCTGGTCTGGACTTTAGACCCCTTAAGGCAAAAGAGAAACATGCCTTGGATTTTTAGTTCCTTCTCTAATATCTAGCTAACATTTATTAAGTGCTTATTATATATTCCAAGTAATGTTCTAATTATGTTTTATATATTATAAGATCTAATGCTCACAGCAATTTTATATGACAGGTTTTTACTATGCCCATTTGACAGATGAGAAAATGGAGTTCAGCTATACAGCTTTCCACGTATTAATAGTTAGAACACAGCAGAGCTGAGATTCCAACCCAGGCAACGTATTTCTTAGAACCTGTATTCCTAAGAACTAAACCATAGTCAAAACTTAATACTCGCTGTTAAATTTTACTTGTGCAGTTTTATTACAGTAGTGAATCTCAAAAGGCTAAGAATTACAGTTGATCCCTGGACAACGCAGGGGTTATGGGTGTCAACCCCAGGCAGTCAAAATTCCATGTAAAACTTTTTACTCCCCCAAAACTTAATTACTAATAGCCCACTGTTGACCTTTATCAATAACATAAACAGTCAATTAACACATATTTTGTATGTTATATGTATTGTATACCGTATTCTTACAATAAAATGAGCTAGAGAAAAGAAAATGCTATTAAGAATTCCATAAGGAAGAGAAAGTACATTTACAGTACTATGTGTATTTATTGAAAAATATCCACATATAAGTGGGCCCGTGCAGTTCAAACCTGTGTTGTTCAAGGGTCAACTGTATATCCTCTGGCTTGTAGACAAATAATGGCAAAAACTGAGCCTTGGGGTGCCCTACCGGACTGGAGAAAAGGGCTTAGTGCATTTTTTTCTGCTTTTACTGCACAGAGATGGTACCTAGGGAAAGTGGTTAAGCTAATGTTTTATCAAAAAGCTCTACCATAGATTTCCTTTTCTAGTTCCTCCTATCAATACAATAAAATGTAGAAAGTGTATAAACCTTTATTTTATCATTCTCTTTTATTTATAAAATGCTTCTGAGTTTCTTCTTCATACGGTAGAATAACATGTTATGCTACATAACACCCAGGAGATTTGCTGCAAACCTCCCTGTTCTGACCATCACTAAACCTATATGTTTTTCTTGATTTTAAAATCTCTTTGAGTTAAACAGTACACTTATAAATGAATAGACTGCAAGAAGTCCTTGCTAAACAGTAGGAGACTGATTCGGTGTTAAGGTATTTATAATCAAAGCACATTTGCTTTTTCACTATCAAGGTCTCATTTTTACTGCTTAACTTGCCCCAGTTAGTTTGTGAACAAACTAGAAAAAACTCCAACTTGGCGATATAGAGCCAGGATTCCTGCAAAAAAGAATCTTCTGTAGATTTCAGTTTTATGTTCCTGGGACCCCTGCATGGGGTTGTCAGATAAAACAGAAGACACCCAGTTAAAGCTAAATTTCAGATACACAGGATATACATTTTTAATATAAGGATGCCCCATGTATACTAAAAAATTATTTGTTATTATAAAATATGGGTTTGCTCACTACATAAAACATAGTACTATGTGAAATCGGGCAACCCTACCCCAAGGAAATCAAAGAACTTCAGTCAACATCCTATAACACTGATGGAGGAATAACAGGACAGAAAAAAAACACTATGATGTCTGGGTTATAGACAATGACTTCCTGATTAACACATAAGCTGGAGCAAAAACCCAGAATTATTCTACTTAATTTTCTGATACCCTTTCGAGATTTAAATGAGGCATCTTCTTGCAAGACAGCCAACAGTTGAATTACAGGCAGGCATCTTATATATAAGCAGGCAAGAAAAGCAAATCGATACATTTTTTAAAGTTCCCTAGAATATTTAAAGATGTAAAATTTTCTATAAGAAGATAATTCACAAGATTCTGCTCATAAAACATTGGGCCATGAGAAGATGCTGGGGGTGGTTGTGCATCCTCCCTTAAACGCCATTTTTCATCACACACAGGTCTAAGGAAGGGGCAGAAGTTACAGGTCACCAGCCTCCAAGAAATAGTAGGAAGACCTAATGGTGAAAAGGGGAAGCAGTGAAAAGCAGGACAGGCAAGTGGAATACGGGACCTCCAACCCTTCCCAGGGGTGACGCTTTCCCGCTGTACCGTTCTCCATCGGGAAAAGGGGCCCCTTGCCCTTCAGCCTGGGGTGCTATCTAACCAGTCATTCACTCACTCACTCCAAAAATAGTTAATAAACACCTACCATGTGCCCTCCTCTCAGTGCTTGGGACACATCAAGGAACAGAACAGACAAAATCCATGTTCTCATAGAGCTTATACATATTATTACAGTTCAGAATTCTTATTTGTATTTCCTGCTATTTTCTGCAACCCTTCCCCTTGAGGTTTTCTTTTTCCCCTCCTATTTCTCTTTTTTGTTTCCTTTTTCTCTTATTTCATGTAGTTGACTGCGTGGGAAAATGGAAGAAGGATTTTCATTGGTTTTTGTTCATGTTCTCACAACTGCCAGTTTTATTATATTTGGGGGACATTAAAATCTAAATTTCACCTCAGTTAAAACCCAAATGCTTACATATGGACTCATTGCAGCTTTCTATATGGCAGTCAAGAAAAATGAAAAGGAAGCGCTGTGTCTGACTTACCAATTCTGTAAATTAGAACTTTGCTGCCGGTGGGGTCCCTGGCTCTCAGGACTCCGAGGTAGCCAGCCTCCAGAAGGCCAAGGACACTTCTAGGGTGTAGATCTGCACTTATTTCTGGGCATTCTTCTCGCCACTTATAATAGTTTTTTAGTAACTGAAAAATAAAATAAAAATTGTCTGCAGATAGCGTGCATGGTAAGCATTTGGTAAAAATGGTAGGAAAGCTTTGGTCTTACGTATGGCCCACGCCATTCGTTATGTCAGGATTTCAAGCTGGGGTATCTTATTAACTATAAAAGTTAAAAGTTTCCTTCAGCAAGGATCTCAGGTGATAGGAGTTCATCACATTTTCAAAGTTGAGTAATTCTTATTTGTTTCTTGTGGTGGAAAGTCTCCAAAGATAGCTGCCAACAATACCACCCCTCCTGGTGTGCACGAGCCATTCCTCCTATCAAGAGATGGACTCCATTTGATTCCTTCCCCTGGAATCTAGGTTGGCCTTATGTCTTGCTTTGACTAATAGAATATGGCAGAAGAGACACCTTTCTAAGTTTTAAGAAGCCTGGGACCTTCTGTTTTTACTTTTTGGGATCCAGGCACCATGTAAGATTATAAAATGAAAAGTCTATGCAGAGAGAGGCCCTGGAGGACAAGAGGCTGTCTTACTTAGACAGCCTGACCTCAGCCAAGTTCCCATCTGACCCACCGTGGAGCAGAGATGAACAAACATATCCACGGACCCTGCACCAAGGGAAGAATCACAAATAAATAATACCTGTGGCTTATGCCACTCAATTTTGGGGTGATTTGTTACTTTACAATAGATAACTGGAACATCTATCTTTAGTCTTTTTGAAATAAGGAGTAGAAATCAATCAAATGAATTCACTCTACAAATATTTTTGGAGTATCTACAATGTTCTATACACTGTGTTAGGTACTTGAGCGAAAGCAGTAGCCAGAATAAATCGCTGCTCTCTCTAGAGGTGACCTGTTGGTGACAACGGATCACATAGGCCATGCTGTATAGTGAAAAGTTCAGTTCTTAGGCTGCTTCTTCAGAAAAACCTTGGCTCTGCCACTTACCACCTATGTCATCTAGAGTAACTGTAACTTTTTTGAGTCTATTTTCTCAACATCCACCTTGTAGGGTAATGTGTAAAGCACACATGGTCATGAGTGGTAGTTAGCACTGCCATTTTTATAATAGGGAAAGTCAGTTGGATTAATTGGCTCAGCCAAGTATTTAGTGCAAGCTTACATTAAAGATAACTAGAATTTGGGGGGTTTTATTTTCTTTCCTACAAAAATAAGAGCTAACTCAAAAATACAAAGGAATCTCTATACCATTGCTATACTTCCTACTTCTAGAAAAACAACGCAAATCGACTTTGTTAATGGTGGCATGCATTCAGAGACCCTATGGAACAGTACGTCTGGATATTGGTAAAATATAATTTTTTAAGAAATCCCATTTTCTTTTTTTCCCAAAGGACAACCAATAATGGTTAATCTAAATTTACAAATAATACAAACATTGCCAGTGTATTGCAGAGAATATTAAAATCAAATTACATATTTAAAACTTACCATATTTTAATTTCCCTCTTTATGATTTTCAGCATCCTCAATTTTTCTAAAATGGCAATATATTTATTTTGAATTTAAAGAGATCTATTAGCAACGTGGAACCAAAGTTCAGATATAAGGAAAAAACAAATTTTGTATCTGAGTCATTGGAATGAATGTGATAACTGTAATCACGAAGTATTTATAAACTTAAAAAGCCAAGTAAAAGGTGAAATTCCGAGCCATTGGAAATGCCAATGGCTAGGAATGGCTGGAGGAAAAAAGAAACTGGTTAGGTTGTCGGAGAAACACCAGTGTGGTGTATAGAAGGGAGAAAAAAGTTATGTGTTGTTTCCTTCTCTCTCTCTCTCTCTCTCTCTCTCTCTCTCTCTCTCTCTCTCTCTCTATCTCTCTCTCTCTCTCTCTCTCTCTCTCATATTCTCTCCCTATCTTTCAGTCTTTCTGTCTTTTTGCCCCTCTTTCATTTCTGATTTTAATAATTTTTTCTTAACTGTTTTAAAAAAGAGAATGTTGCTGAGAGTTAAATGCAACAGAGAGATAAGAAAGAAAAAAAAGTCAGTGAATTTGCAAACCAAGAAATAATTGGTGACCTAAATAGCACTTTGCAAAGGCAGGAAGAACAAAAGGCACATTGTAGATGCTGACATATTCATCCTGTTCCATCAGATGAATTCCTCTTCCTCCTCCTGTCTTAGGGGGCATCAGAATAAGTGTTAATAGCATTTTACAACACTCGTTAAAATTTTGATAGTTCCCCCAGACATAAAAGTCACCCTTTTAATTCCAATTCAAGCAAAATACTAGAAGCAGAATATTAGCTCCTATATAGAAATAATTTTATTTTCCCATAGAATGATAAAAGTTGTGGCTTCATTAAAGGGGATCTTTTAAGTAATAGAGGCAGGGTCCTCAGCTTATTCATCTCTGCAGAGTTCTGGGCATCCAAGAGATAAGCACATGTGTTGAATGAAAGAATAAATTACAGTATCCCCCCTCCCCGCCCCCCTCACACCACCACCACCACCACCACATGTGATTTCGCTTTCCGCAGCTTCAGTTACCTATGGCCAATCACAGTCCGAATATGTTAAATGGAAAATTCCAAAAATAAATATTTCGTAAGTTTTAAACTGTGCGCCATTCTGAGCAGCATGATGAACGCGCACTCCATCCTTCTCCCTTCTCAATCCCACAGTTAACCCCTTTGCCCAGTGTCTCCGCGCTGCAGATAAGCCCCTCTTACTTAGTAGCCATCTGGGTTACCAGATAGACGGTGTTGCTATCGCAGAATTTGTGCTCAAGTCACCCTCATTTTACTTTACAGTGGCCCCAAAGCCGTCCACATAACTTTTATTACAGTATATTGTTATAATTGTTTTATTATTAGTTATTTCGTTAATTTCTTACTGTGCCTAATTTATAAATTAAACTTTATCATAGGTATGGATGTATAGGAAAAAACATGGTAAAAATATAGGGTTCAATACTATTCACAGTTTCAGGCATCACTGAGGTCTTAGAAAGTATCCCCCGAGGATTACTGCATTGCATGAATAAACCAGCTACATCCACACACTTGAAAAAACGACATTTGTAAAGATGCACAAATAATGCCTTTGGCATTTAAGTTTTGCAAACTGCACTATCTAAATCTTTGATTATTACTTTGATTATTACTTTTGATCATTACTTTATTATTTTTCATTATTACTTTTGATTATTACTTGTTTGGATCTTTGATTATTAGTTTTCCACTGATAAATAAATTCAAAGGTCCAGTTGACATAAATCAATTATGTAAATGACATAAACTGCTACTGAGCAAACCTAAAGTTCACAACAAGAAAAAAATTGGGTGCAAGTGAATATCATTATTGGAAAGCACCTGGTTCATACCACAATTAGGAATAAATAAATATAAAAAGTTGTGGTTTATTTTAACTATGCTTTATATAGATATAGATATATACATATATACAGATATAGATATAGATATGCCATGCCTCCTCACCACCACCCTGAGAGGTAACTATTGTTACCCCATTTGATGGACAAGAAAACTAAAGCTCAGAGAAGCTACACATTTGGTGAAGGGTAATAACTACAAAAGCGGGGTGGAGACTGAAACTGACACAACATGATAAACTTTATAAAAGAAACTACGTTTAGTGGGAAATTAGCAAGGAGACTCAATGGAATTTTGAAAACTTCAAAGTCTTTGGGAAAACCTTAACAGTAATTAAAAGATAAAATCTTATCATATGGAGCAATACTATAAGGACCTGGACTGTACACTTGTGAAAAATGGAAATACACAAGATGTAGAACACACAGACTTTAAGAGTTGGCTGTTTTCATGTTCATCATTTTAAACAAATGGGGCGAGTGTAGTATACTTGAAGGCATAGGTTCCCTGAGTTTCACCCAAGTTGAAATTCTTGCTCTATCACTTAACAACTGTGATTCCGGACAAGTCACTTACTCTATATATCTCAGTTTCTTCTAAAATGAAAAAATAATGAGATAATCCTCACAAACACTACTTACCAAAGTACCTCACACTCTAAAAGCTACTAAGATTCTAAAAACCTCATTAATTCATTATCACTTCAAATACAAAAACTACAAAAACGAGACGTTTCATTACAACTGAGGGACTTATTGAGCTTTGTTGATACACTAAAACTATAGGGCTTTTATAATATAAACAAGGAAGTTTGAGTTGAATTTACTGCCTCTGTATGGGAAAATGAAAAAAAAAAAGTTTCATGCTCTAAATCTTTTGCATTCATTTCCAATTGGCAGAAAAGTAAGGCAAAGAGTTCCCAGACAGAAACTTGATCTCTCTCCAGTGGATTTGCATAGTCCTATTAGCAAATTCCTCAAGGACATGGTGCAATGAAAACAATTCAGGAACATAAAGAATATGGGGAAAAATATGTAAGATGCAGGTTGGAGGTAAATTTTATTTCCTCTTCTATTTTGACATTACTTTTATTTTGTTGTTGTTTATGTTGTTTTCTTTATAAAATTTATTGGGGTGACATTGGTTAAAAACATTATGTGAGTTTCAAGTGTAGAATTCTAGAATACATCATCTGTACATTGCATTGCGAGCTCACCAGCCAAAGTTCAGCCTCCCTCTGTCACTGTAAATTTGACCCCCTTTATGCTCTTCATCTTCCCCCTACTACCCTCCCTCTCTGGTAACCACTTCGTGTTGCCTGTGTCTGTAGACATTACTTTTAACCAAAATGAGCACTCGCTTCAGCAGCACATATACTAAAATTGAAATGATACAGAGATGATTGGCATGGTTCCCACACAGAGAGGACACGCAAATTCGTGAAGCATTCCATATTTTTAGGAATATACACTCAGAGAGAAATTTTAATAGCGATCATATGGATGGCATTGTTTAGAGCAAATGAAGTTTTCCTTTTTTCTTTCAGCTTAAAGCTTCATGCTTTGAATATTAATAATTTCTGATAGAGTTATCTTTCTGACTTATGGTGTATCCAAGGAAATCAGGTTCTAGTTCTAGCTCTGCCACTAACTGCTGTTATGATTGCATATATCAATTTGCAGATGAAAAAGCTTGAAAGTTAGAGAAAGACAAAATATAAGCTTTTCTAAAGTCTCCTCTAGATATAAAATTCTTTTGTCTATTTTTAATACATCTGTAGGAATCCTTAGTTTCTTATAAAACATAATCTTGAATTTTAAACCAAAAACAATTTTAAAAAATTAAAAATAAAAGGCAACCACAATGAAATCAATAAATCATAGACTTTTTTATTGTCAGTTACCTCTACAACATATATATGTTTAATGCCTCACTTAAACTGCACTCTCCTTAGGACCTGAAACTGTGTCCTCACATTGACTAGCTGTTGAGCAAATATTAGTTTATTACTCAGGATGTTGGGACACCTGAGTAGACAGACACCTGACAAAATGAAAACAAATAATAATAAAAGATAATTTAATAAAAAAAAAGAAAACAAATAAAGTCATAGTCCTAGTTCACTCCTAACATCAAAGAAATCCCAGTAGAGCAACAACTCCAACCTTAAAAAAGGAAGTCATAGGGCAGCCTGGTGGCTCAGTTGGTTAGAGCGCAAGCTCTGAGCAACAGGGTTGCCGGTTCGACTCCCCCATGGGATGGTGGGCTGTGGCCCCCTGCGACTAGATTGAAAATGGAGACTGGACTTGGAGCTGAGCTGTGCCCTCCACAACTAAGACTGAAGGACAACAACTTGACTTGGAGCTGATGGGTCCTGAGAAAAACACACTGTTCCTCAATAAAGTTAAAAAAAAGAAGTCAAATTACTGGAGAAAATTTTGGAAAGGAGAAGAGCTTGTAAAACCCAGAAGCAACCAGAGGACCACCAAATGTATACTTTTGTTATATAAAAACCTAAAATTCTGCACAGAAAGAAAACAGCTTTAACAATGTCAAAAGACAACAAACAAGGACAACGGCCTATTTGCTTTAATACATTAAGATATTTTATAATAAAAAGCTTTTTATATTGCATGTATATTTTATGTAAACAAAGTGGAAGAAAATAAACAAATGACAAAAATAAGCAGTTACCGAGAAAAGAATTTTAAAATGATAAATATATAAAAAATGATTTAACCTCACTTGTAATTAAATAGATGCATATTATAATAATGAGAAGCAGTTCTTCACATAGCAAGTTGACACACAGATCCTAATGATTGCTAATACAGAAAAGGACATCATTATGCAATACAGAATTGACAAAATTAGTGCCAGCACTTTGGAGGGCAGTTATATTCCTTCACACTAAAAATGCCCTCCTCAGTTCACTCAGCAATTCTGCAGGTTGAATTTATCCTATAAAGATCTATTCCTAGTTTTGCACTAAGACAAATGTACAAAGACATACTAGAATACCCAGTTGGTGATGGAAGACGCCTCATTTGTCTTGCTTACTGCATTTTGTGTACTGCCAGGCAAATTGTAAGAGTTAAAAAAACAATCATTGATAAAGGAATGAACAGTGTCCATGGCAGCACTGCCATTGTCTGATGACAACTCCATGTCCAATAACATTAATAAATGTTAATATAACTAATTCACACAATGGAATAGCACACAGCCCACAAAAGGATGAATATATATATATATATATATATATATATGCACACATGAGGAAATACGATGATTTCTATGATAAATTAGGTTAAAAAAGGCAAAATGTAAAATGCACACATACGCTTGCGTGAAGGTAGACTGTCTGGAAAGAGAAACAAGAGACAGGTACAGTAACTGCTTCTGGGTATGCTGGTAAACTAAGGTTTGGGGTGGAGAACTTTTTTCCTTTAGAAAGTTACTTTTAAGAACTTACTTTGTACTCTTTATTGTTTATGGGTTATTGTTGCCACTCGTAGTCTTTACTTTTGCAATTAAAAATTAGTTATCAACGACCAAAAAACCCCACACGGAGACACGTTGGGATTATGTAGTATATATAATACTTGCCCTGTCTTTCAAAAGGCTGCAGGACAACCAGCAAGCCACTTAGAGAAAGAGCTAAACCAGGTCCCATTTCTGAGTGCTTCCTCTGTGCCAACCTCTCTGCTGCGTACGTCCTGTTCTGTTAAATTGGTTAATGGTCAGTCCTAGAAACCAGTGAGGTAGGTGTTCTCATCACTATTTAATAGATGAGGATACTGAGCCCAAAGCGACAGAACTAAACAAAGGTCGCCTCCCTCTCTGACTCCTGTCTTCCCTTGCCCCTTCTCTCAACCAACCAGCTGGAACACACCTGGAAACACAAAAGAACAGCCTCATCCCTCACCCCTCCCACTGGACTGCTTTACTGTCTTGACAATTAAGGGCTCCTATTAATATTACTATTTCACTAGAATTTGGCTCTAGAGCCAATCCTGTCCCTCACAACAATTTAAAAATTATTTGAGAGCCATAAATATATTTTTACATAATCACCATTATGTGAATAATATCCTTTAAATTTTTTATAAATGAAACTATGATAGTTTTATTTTCAATTTTACTTAAGAGTCTGTGGGGCTTGAGAGCCAGCTGCAGCTTGCTGACTCCTGGCCGCTGTTGCGTCTCAAAAGTTTGCCAACACTTGCTCTAGCCCTTCTGTTTTGCTGGCAATCGCATTCTCCCCGCGACACGTGCAGTTAGTTACCGGCTACGATGTAATGAACTCTAGACTTCCTACTTCCCAGCTGTCATTTTGTTTTATATCACCAGCTTTCTGCCAGGGAAGGAGGAAAGGCATCCCCCCCCCGCCCCCCCCCCAAACTTTCTAAGTTCGGGAGACTTATCTAGAGCAGAGTTCTAGTGTCTGGGGTCAAATGGGCCATCACCCCGGTGGTGTCCATCCAGCTTTGTTTGGGTTTTCCGTTTCCATGGGCTCAGGGAAACTAGAAGGAGCGGCGCTGGATGTCTCAGAACACCCGCGCCACAGCGCCCGCTGCTCAGTGCGCCAGGGGCGCGTTCCCACCAAGGTCCCGCTTGCAACTTCAGTTTTCGCGGGGGTTAGGGGAGCACACCCACGGGCACCCAGCCCTGTACTCAGGTGGGGCGCAGCGGCGAATACCCTTACCCGCCAAGCCAGGTCGAGGTCGAAGTCCCGGGCACGCAGGAAGCGCAGCAGAAAGGAGTCGGTGAGAGGCAGCGGCGAGAGCGGAGCGCCCGGCGCCTCTGCCCGGCGCCGCAGTTCGGTCAGGCCCGGCTGCAGCAGCGGCGAGTCGTCTGGCAGCGCGTTCAGCTGCAGCCCCGCCACCGGCCCTGATTGCGCCTCTGCCATGCCCGCCGCCGCCGCCGCCGCCGCCGCTTCGGCCCGGGTGGCCTGGGCGGGCGGTAAAAAGCGTGGGCTGCGCGCCACCCTCCAGCCCCTCCTCCAGTGGCCGCTGCCCAGCTCACGCCCACCTTCCCGCCCAGCGGGTCAGCGCGGGGCCTCGCACACGGGGGAGTGGGTGGACCAGAGCTGCCTCTCCAAAGAAAGCCACCTGGTGTCCCCACCGGTGCTAATCATTCTGAAAGCTCTAGGTAGTAACCCAAACCTTTCCCTCTGATCGGGGAAGTCACCGGTGTTCAACGCCAAGGGAAGACATCAGAAAGTTTGTTTGCCTACATTGATTGGGATTAGTTGGGAAGTTTCAAATAAATCTGCTAGGAGATTCCCGCCCCCCTCCGTTTAGTCCTTCCTTTCCCTCCCTCCCTCCCTCCTTCCCTGCCTTCCTTC